AAAAAAAAAAAACTAAAAACAAAACAAAAATAAAACATATCCAGCACACAACCTGTCAGAGCTTTTGTTTAACACAGTTGTTTGCTGGGTGGGCTGGTTTTGAGCCCAGTAGTTCATCCCATATCCACAGTGACCAAAGCCTCTCTGCTCCGGGTTTTCCAGCAAGCATTGCTACAAATAACTCTTACAGTTGCTGTGGTGTCCCTCTAAATAAGAGGATATTGTAACTGATGACAGGGAAAACTGATTGATGAGCTCTTGAAGAAAAACACTGGACTGACCTACGTACAGTACAGAAAGGAGCTGCACCTCGTGGTGTCACTACCGCAGGAGAGTTCAAATCAAGCACGGTGGAGGTAGAAAGCAACTAAAACAACTGACACACACCTTCATCATCACCATTAAATTAAGCACCAATTGGCTCAAATTCATTCTAAACAAGAGTTTTTTTGGCCTTCAAAGCTCCAAGGCGGTCTGCCACAGAAACAAACACTAATTTCTATGGAAACACTTTAAGTCACTGCTTGAAATTATTTGTGTTGGTAAGCATGTGTCCTGTAAGGCGTAAACAAAAGGATAGGGATATCTGAACCAGAAACAACCAGATGAACAGAAAAGCTGTAATTTTGATTATGTCATCCACTTAGGTTAGCCAGGGGCTGTGTTTAAACATAAACCAAACAAAGTGAAGTTATGGGAAACGATGTGTTGTTTATAGGATGCTGAGTGATAAAACACTGAAACACGTTTCAACAAGTTGTCTCCACTGTCTCTGTCAAACAAACACCAGGCCAGAGGAGATGCCTACTGCTACTCCTTATTTATATTTCAGTGTTTTATTCAACATGACGCCAGAATAACTCTTTAGTCAGGTTATTTGCAACTTATACTTCTTTTATCACTGTGTTCAAAATGGTTCGACTGATGCTGAAAGAGCTTGTTGTTGACTGTAGGAGGAGAAAAAAAAAAGGAAAAAAACAGATGTCAAATTAGAATAGGAAGTTGTTCCCGGGGCCTGAACAGAAAGGTTCCAACCATCTGCTCGATCTTTTACCTCTCCAAGTTGTTTTGAAGAAAAGTGGCTGCCATAGAAAGCATGGAGATATGATATGCCAATGTTCACATTTGAGAAGATGGAACCAGTAAACTTTTCGATTTTTTGCTTAAAATGACTTAAAACTGATCGTCAACAGTTGTCAGTTTTTGTCAATCAACAAATCAATTAATCGACAAATCACTGGAGCTCCAACGCATTATAATAAAGTCTATTTATATAGAGTTTTAAGACACTACATTGATGAACTGCGGAAGTACCAGAATTCCCACACTTTGGTCTTCACTGAAATGAGTGCTTGGAGTTTAGACCAATTTCTTTACATGTTTTACAAGCCACCAAGACAGAAATACAGAGGTTTCCAGTTTCATGATACATTTTTGTTTTTTATATATGACATTGATCATAACCAAACACAATATGCCTTTATCCGTAAAACCCTAACTGCAATGTCAACTGCATACCAAAAGTTGAACACATTATCTCTGTGGTGCCAAGTGCTTGAAGCACTCTGATCAGTCGTTCATTTTTCCATTTACAAAAGTCATTTCTTTTTCAGTGACATCTAAATTCAGGACTTGGAAAACATCTACTGCCCTTCCTATATGACAAAAAAAATCATCATCATCATCATCATCATCATCATCATCAGGCTGTGCCCATTAGATGACCTTCCAGCCTCCTGACTAACACATAAGCCAATCAGATCCTTCAGATTGTGTGGTCCCACCAACCATTCAGCAGGCTGTTCCTGCTCAGCAGGAGGGAACCAGTGCTGCGTTTCTCTGGCACAGAATGTTCTTTCTCTGCTCCGAGCCCCCGCCACCCCCGACTCCGTCTCGCCCTCTGACCTCTGCAAAGGGTGATGGGAGGTGTAATTTTGCAATGTGATAATGTACGCCCTCAGGCATATAGAGAGAGAGGAAGCTGAGGGAGAGGAAGGAGATAATCTGTGCCTTAAGTTCGACTTGTAAGTCTACAGGTGTGTGCAGGGGTGGAGGGGTTGACGGGCACATACAGTGGACATCAGCATTCCACTGGACATCTGTAACATGATGGATCCCAGGTTTTACCCTCCTTACCGCACTTTCAGAGACAGGTTGCTGCAACACAAGGGGAGAAGGTAGAGTAGAAGGAAGGGGTAGAGGAGGAGGATGAGGAGGATGAGGAGGAGGAGGAGGAGGAGGAGGAGGAGGTGTGAAGAACGGATGAGAAGGAGAGAATGAACTACAGAAGGGGGAGACGTAGAAGAAAAGGACATGGAAAAGAAAGGTGGAGGAAAGAATGAGGTTTAAAGATGGAGACGGGGGGCGGTAGAGGAGGAGGATACTAAAAACACCATTTAACATATCACGTCTTTTTGAATGCACACGCACACACACACGCACACACACACAAACACACACAAACAGCAAGGCTTCCAGCTGGGGGAGCCAGACAACACAAACTACCACAAACAAACCTCAGCTGGTGGTGAACAGAAAAGTGTAACATGAAATGATGACTACAAAATTAGGTCTTCATGAGCATGAGACATCTTGGAACTCATCACATACAAACCTCTAGGTAATCATTTACAGTCTCTCAACATACATAGTTTTATTCTGGTTTAGAGCAGGGGTTTTCAAATGTGTCGCTGCCGCCTCTAAAAATATTGATAGTGCAACATGAAAAACGTTAATATTAATTAATTTTGTCTCTCCTAATTCTTTGGGGGACAATCATACTCTAAGGTTTAGAACTACAGTTCCCATACACTATTTCTGTCCATGATCTTTTTTTGTAGCCAATTTTTGTTTATTGTCACCATTAGCAGTATGCTGAATTAGTTACTGCATTAGTCTGAAAGGGGTATTAGAAAATGAAAGGGTGGGTTGTAGAGAGTTACTGTAAGTAGTTGCTAGTGTCCACGCAGTAAAACAGCTCACCTTTTTCATTTCCAGCACTCTGGCTGTGGGATAAGGATCGCTGCTGAGCGTCCGAACCCCTTCCAGGGAAACAGAAATACCAGCCCAGCAGGAAGGTATGCTGGGAAATTCACACTAGTCACCAGCTAACTGGTGGGAATATGCCTGGGATGTTAGTTCTAAAGCAATAGATTATATATAGCAGCTACTTGGTTAAACAATGAAAGTGGCAGGTGAACTGACGTTATTTTCTCTCTCTCTGCTGCTTGATCAGCTGATCAACTAAGAATTAAAAGCCTTTCTAATTGTTAATCCTTGTTTTCAGCCCCTAACCTCAGGGTGACAGGAACAGGATGTCCCACACAGAGACACAGTTGCTGTGATGACGCTCCAGGCTTTAGCAGCGTATACTACTCAGCAGCACAGCACAACAATAACAGGCAAAGACAGATGTCTAGACTGAAGATAGAAGAGTTGATTCAAAACACAGATAGAGATCTATACTGGCTTTCGACTGATTAAACAGATCCACATAGTCCTACTGACCTGCATTTAACAGTTTTTTTTTGTCAAAATGAACCCCCCATCTAAGACTTGGCAAGCAGTACTTTTGATTCACTTGACTTTTGGTTAGATTTTTAAAAAAAATGGTTTCAACAACAAGTTCAAACTTGTGCTTTGGGCTTTATT